ATAGATACATAGATACATAGATACATAGATACATACTTAGATACTTAGCAGCAATGTTCCTTTCAGAAGTTGAGTTAGCATCCTTTTCGTGCCCCAGGCATTACTTATAATTACCTGGCTACCCTCAATTTTAAAATAAATCTTGTCTAAGAACCCGGATTCTTGATGTGTCTATCTTGTGATTTATTCAATATTTTTATAATTTTTGAAGACTACAGTTGCAATCTAGGGTTATTGCTGACTCTCAGCTTTTATATGAATTTATAGAAATACTTTGGATACAATGTCTTTTTTTTTTTTTTTTTAGAATTCAGAACCTTGCAATACAACAGCTCTAAGCACAGAAGAGGGTGATATTGGAGAACTTCCTCTTAAGGGTTACCATGATCTTCCAGCAGAAGTTCAAGAACAGGAGGGAAGGAATTGGGACAACACTGTAGAATTTCAAAAAGTAAGACTTCTCAGCTATGGGACTTGTAACTAACATCTAGTTCAGCTAACCTGAATTATGTTAAACACTTTGGAAGAATATACTCTTGTTATCTTCCTTGAGAGACTATATTATTGAAATGGCAAGACGCTCTTCTTTACCTCTGAATTCTTGAACTGAACACTAAAATGTTTTCTATTTTAGTACAGACATGTAGCTCAAGGTCCAAGCGATATATGAGTAACTGTTTAGCTATAGTAAAACAACTTTCAGTCTTTTCAGTCCTGACAAAATAGGTCCCTGAAATGTAATTTAGACTTTTATTGATGTATTGCAGAGGTTCACTATCCATTTGTAAATTGTTCTTTTGTCCTGTCAACAATGTATGATTGTGTATTGTTATTATACCACATTTTTATATGGTAAATATTTTATGGTGGCTCTGGTTGTCCTTGCAGGGATTATTCTGCAATGTAATGGTGAAATACACTATAGCCAAGGCTGAGGGTTACAAGGGGTTTCCTGAATTGACCCCCTCCATTTATGATGAGATTGCCACCAAAGTTTCTGTAGTTGTGATCTTAACAATATGGAGGGCACTTTGGGGGGAAAAGCTGACCTGGGGGTTGAGGGGGAGTGTTCCATCTTGCTCTCCATGTTACTTATCATATACATAAAACTGTTGGGGTGCTGTCCAGAGATTGGGGATTTGGTACAGTATAGCTCTTCATCAAAATGAAGAAAGCTGTTCCCATATTGGTAATAGATTTAATATCAGTAATAGGATGTGGGGGTGATATTTCTTATTCTTAGCTTGATAGTATGGGTATGTTAAAGTTTTCACTGTTGTATAACATGCAAGAAGAAATATCTTGAAAAATACATTAAAAAAAAGCCATAAATTAAGGTTTCAACTTTAGCCTTTTATGATTGCGTGTATGAGTGTTTCAGAGGCTTACTCCCTTTGTTTGTATTTCCCTTCTTCCAGGTAAATAGTGAGATCTTGAAAGGTAGTAGTCCAGCTGATACTGAGGCTCAGGCTGTTCAGATACTCTGGCCTGGGTTAGAGAAGGAACAATCAAAGAAGCAGGTAAATGGTCCTACATTAATTCACCTTATGATGAATGAAAGGGGGATTCTTTGATAAGGTACATAATTATGCACCTCATTGCTGATCCCCGACTAAAGATTAGAACAATTTGTTTCTATTTGTAGGTGACAGCACCCAGCTAGCTTTGGCTGATCTCAGAAGTTAAGCAAAATCAACATAGGTCAGCTTGGATGGGCTGACTGAGAATTTCAAAACTGTTAGGCTGGGTAGTGCAAATTTATATCTATCTATCTATCTCTGTGAAAATGGCAGTGACAAACCATTTTTGGAACACTGCCAAGATTTCCTATGTGCAGTTGCTAGGAGTAGATTTGAGGGTGTCTTTATTTAATTGTACTCTAATTACAAGCCAGCAGAAGGAAGTCTAATTGAAGAGATCTAACTGAGGAAAAGCTCCAATAAATTATAATGATATAACCCTGTAATATGTAACCATTGATGAAACTCTCTAATTATGGAATGCTGAAAAGAGCAAGCACTAGCAAGTTTTTCTTAAACTGTAAGATAACAGAGATAATGAATTTGTGTGAAAAACAAATCCAAAGAATATCAGGAAAGACAATGGCCAATACTTCATTTTTGAAAATAGGCCAGATTTAACATCTAGATTTTCTAATCCTAATATTATATAAAATACGCAGGTTCCTTGATTGATGGGAAAGAGAGATAAAGTTTTACAGTTTTTTGTGTTAATAAAGCTAAAGATAAATTGTATATTATGTGCTAATTTTAAAGATAAAGTTGAGAAACTGCAAAAAATTAAAAACATAGTTCTGCCCACTGACTTGCAATCTAGTAGTCAGGATTCAGATGAGATAGGAAAGGAACAGAAAAATATGCTGGTTCATCATGCATTAATTCTTCATCTAATTATTTCATAAGGATGTAAATGTAACCACTGAGAACACAACCAAATGACAGGTGGTGCAAGTTAAATCAGTGGTGTGGGCTATGCTGTATTCATCTTTGCCTTTGCTGTAGTCAGGAAGAAGAGTAAGTCAAAGTTTTTTCTGTGGTATCTATGGAGTAGCACCATCCAGTGTTAGGATCAAGCTGAAACTCTTCCTTTTTTGTAGCACCAAAGCCAGTATCTGAGATACAGACGCCTCTTCATGGATATCGAAAGAGAGCAAGTGAAAGAGCAGCAAAGACAGAAGGAGTGGCAGAGGAAAATGGACAAGTACACATTCAGTAGATGACCATTCTTTTTGCCTATAATTTCTTGAATGTAAAAAATGATAACATGCCTTTGCATAAGTAGGTAATGGATGAGGTGATTCTGATTTTAACTAAAATTCTCAACTTAATGAAAATGGTATTTGAGAACATTTTCTCCTTGCAGTCAACCTTTTTAATTCAGTGGTCTTACTACTTCTGGCTTTAGTTTTTCTTTTTTTCTTAGCTCATTTGGGAAGATAAAATGAATCAGTTCAATTTGTGCTATGAATGTAAAAGATACAAAATAATATTGCTCTATACTTTTGAAAAAAAATCAGTCTGGATGAAGGGTTGCAGCCACTCACCATTTTTGGTTTCTAAAAATATCTTTGTGGAACTCAGAGGTGTTCTTGGAAATAAGGATGAGGCTGGTACTTTACTGTTCAGCAGGCCAGCTTCTCATTTCATTAATTTTAGTGGCCTGGGGAGTACCCGAAATCCTGACAGCTGGCAACACAGCTGGTCTGACCTATAGCTTTCCCTTTTCTGTCATAGTTATGGGGCCTTGGTGCAATAATATCTCACTCAAACCACACTAAAATGAAGCCAGTAAAAAATGGTGTCAAGCTATGTCATTGTCATTTTTTAAAAGCACAGCTGGACCCCAGAGGAAATTTCTTTTATTGGATATATTTTAAAAAATAAAATGGCAAAAGAATCTTAAGTCACCTAAGCAAGTTGTACATTGAAGCAGTAGATTCACTTTCTCATAACACGTGAGGAATCTTCTCTTATAATAAATTCATACTTGGCAGAGTCTTTTTATATAGAGGAGAATGTTCTGTTTTATGATTGTACATGCCCTTGCTCCATAGCATTTTACTAGTGAAAACTTTACAATGATGCAGTAAAGTCTGTACAAATATTGAGTTTTAAAGAGAGAGGGGAGAAACAGCAGAATTAAATAGCTACTAGTTTTCCTAAGCAGTATGGCTTTGTAAAGCAAACATTTTCCCTTTTAAATTTGTGTGTTTTTCTCTTGATTTGAAGAGCTTTTGATTAGTAAACAGGCTATGTCATTGTCATTTTTTAAAAGCACAGCTGGACCCCAGAGGAAATTTCTTTTATTGGATATATTTTAAAAAATAAAGTGGCAAAAGAATCTTAGGTCACCTAAGCAAGTTGTACATTGAAGTAGTAGATTCACTTTCTCATAACACGTGAGGAATCTTCTCTTATAATAAATTCATACTTGGCAGAGTCTTTTTATATAGAGGAGAATGTTCTGTTTTATGATTGTACATGGTTAACTTGCCCTTGCTCCATAGCATTTTACTAGTGAAAACTTTACAATGATGCCGTAAAGTCTGTACAAATATTGAGTTTTAAAGAGAGAGGGGAGAAACAGCAGAATTAAATAGCTACTAGTTTTCCTAAGCAGTGTGGCTTTATAAAGCAAATATTTTCCCTTTTAAATTTGTGTGTTTTTCTCTTGATTTGAAGAGCTTTTGATTAGTAAACAGGCAGCAATTACACAGTTGCCTTCTGCTAATTTGGGCTAAAGGTCTATTTCATCTACCATTCTGTTTCATTCAGCGACTAGCCACTCATTCAATGACCCCTCTAGGAAGCCTAGAAATGGCATAAAAGCAATAACCCGTTTGTGCCCTGGTGACTAATATTTGGGAATATCTTTCCTCTGAATATGGCTGTTTCCATTAATTTTGTGACTAAATACTGTTGCGATAGTCCCATCCTTCATGAACTTGATGATCTCTTATGATTTTACTAGGAAAGCTTTAAGTTATACCACCCCTGTATACACAATGCTTTAGCTGGGATACCCTTTTTGTCAGGGTATCCTTACGCTCCACAAGTTTTGTTTTGCATACTCCCCTAGCTGCTCTTTTATACTAGCTAGTGTTTGGAGGTTTTTTGTTCTGATATATAGCTGGTTAAAAGCCAAACAGTTGCAGGTGAGAAAAAAAGTTGTAATGTGGAATATACAGTCAAGTATACCATGCAGAGACGTGCTTAATAAGATGCGGAGCTGACCGATATGTTTTCAATCTTTGCTGAAACTAAAGTAATGGTAATATGCTTTTAACCAGATTTTATAATCTTCCATTTCATATAGAAATTTAACAGCAAAACAGAATGGATAGTTGCATTCCTCTGACTTTTGATTCTGTACTCCAATAATGTGACCTTAGAATGATTGGATAAAATTCTGTCTGTCACAGAATTAAGAAAGAAAAGGAATATCAGCGCCGTGCAGAGGAACAGAGGATACAGGAAGCGCAGCGAGCTAAGGAAGAAAGGACACAGGAGATGGCTTCACAACAAAATGCTAACCCCAGGGAAAAAACTTGTGAAAAACTGCAACAACTGAAACTGGAAGACCCAGAAGAAAAGAAAAAGCTAGTGGAAAGAATACAAAAAAATAAGGAATATTCTAGGTGAGTTAAAGTATCAGTGGAAGTTTTGAATCCAATCAGCATGCATTTACAAGCACTGCTGGGCCACACCAAACATTCACCTAGTCCAGCTCCTGATAAAACCTAAAGGCAAAGGTGCTTCTTTGTCTCTAGTATCTATTTGGGAGATTACTGATGAGGAGCCCCACCAGTTAACCAAAAGCAGCTGAATTTCTCCAGGTGCTGAGTATTTCAAAGAGTTATATCAAGTTGCTGTACCAGCAAACATACCAGTGTCTGGTCAAAATAGTTGCAGATGCTTCCAATCAACCTTTCCAGTTGGAACTGTTCCAGGATATCACAGTAAGTTGGTTGATAGTTGTAGGACTGGTCAGGTGTGACAGCACAATGTGATTGTGCTCAAGCAGAATATCCAGAAGGCACCTGAGGCTCCATATCCACTGTAGAACATGAATACAAGAAGTACTTAGAGAAATGCCTGCTTCTCTATGAGCCCATCTATTTACTGATATCCCCTGCAGCTATCTTCTGTGGGCATCTGGATGATTAGGAGTGAGGAAGGTATCAGTAAGGGAGAGGACATTTAGAGTTTTGTGCCGATTGTGGATGGCCTTCCCAGATTTTTCCGAGCATTTTAGATACACAGTAAAGAATCCAAAGTCACTTTTTGTGAGATGGGCGGCCATATAAATTTGATTAATAAATAAATAAAAGGCTGCTTTAAAAGACCAATAGGGTAGAGGGAATGTCTGCTATTTCTGAATGTCCATTAAATTGCATTTAACATCATGATGAAAATACAAGGGGAGTTTCATCTGTTGCATCAAGATCTGTTAAATCAAGATTTCATTGTATTGCTGATTCTTATCTGATATTTGTATTCTTATCTTCCTGTAGTTATTAGATTGTAATACCTTTTCTGTAGCTTTATGTGATTGAAGATGTCCCAAGTAATTGATACAGGGTAATTTAAAAAAAAAGTTACAACTCTTATTTCAGGAGCTTATGTTAATTTCCACACCAATTGAAAATAACACTTTATGAATCTTGCAGATTTGATTCTAGTCCATAAAAGCTTATAAATAAACCTAAGTGACCTTATAGCTCCTTGTTTGCTGCAAGAGAAAGGTAAGTAGTTGAAATATGTTGAATGGGTTTCTGGATCAACCAAGAAAGTTGGTTCTGGCACTAAGGCATTGAAATTATCACTGAACAGGGAAAAAAAAATGTGTTTTCCAGATACGTGGAAGCATTAAGAGCCCAGATGCGAGAGAAGATCAACATGTATAATATACATTTGCCTCCCTTGTGCTTCTGTGGATCAGATTTCTGGGATACTCATCCCGATAGCTGTGCCAACAACTGTATGTTCTATAAAAACCACAAAGGTATCAGATCTGTGGAAGTCTCTATTGCTCCATTATGCTTAGTACCAGTACTCCTCATTTGGATTTTACTCACAATGTATTCTAAAACAGCTGGTGCAATGGAGAAGGCAACTCACTGCACCACCAGTGATATCACTGTCCATGAAAAATATGCAAACCAACATTGAGTGAGATATTACTACTTCTAATCTGCCATATCCCTGGGAAGGTATTGGTAACTACAGTTTGAGTAAAATATCTTCCTCCACACTTTTCTCTGCAGTTCTTAATACAAGATTTGAAACAAATTCTGTCTCTGCCTCAGCTTGAGAGCATTTGAGTTCTGTGAGTGGGAATGCTCTGAGCCTAAGTCACAATCAGTAGTAACCCGCTAAGAAACATTGGCATTTAAGTACTACATAAACAATTGACCGGACAGATTCTAAATCTGTAGGTGTACACTGTAAACAAAGATATATACTGAGATTGCCTGCTGTGGTATGGTATTTTTCGTTCAGAGGTTAAAGAAATATTTGTATTTTCAAAGCTTAAAGGAAGTGAAGGTGGGATACTGTACTTCACAGTGGAATTTGCTCACACTTAGCTTTCATTCTTTGCCTATTCCCAGCTGTATCTTCTGTTTGGTCATATAAAATCCCTGCTGCTCCATACAGTACAGTAGTAAATTGTTTAATTATTGTGAAACCAATGAGATTCTCTCCCTAGGAGAAACTCCTTTGTATAAAACAAAGGCTATATTCCTTGTTTTAATTCCTGACTTTGTGAATAATGCAAAGACTTTGAACAATGATTCTTGCGGACAAGTGATGCATCATAAAGAAAAAACCACTTTACTGTATCAAACTGATTGCAGTTAGAACCACCATGCTGAGTCAGGTCAAAGGTTTATTCAGATGGCATCTGTTGTTGACTGACCAACAAGATGCGATTGGGAAAAACAAAAACAATGAAAATAGAAGTCGCACTCCAACTGCTACCTCCCTAAAATTTGGTGTACATTGGCATTTAGGAAAGCCATTTTATAAACTCATTTTCATTTACTATATTCTCATTTTTTTTAAACAATGACTAAACCTGTGGTTGGAGCTTGTGGCAGTGAAATCCAGAAACTTTGTTCGAATTGCTCTTATACTTACTGAATCTGTAGCCTATACTATTGTAGAGAACAAAGTGTTTGTTTATTCTCCAAATGGCACATCATTGTAGAAACCTCCATCATGCTATCCTCTGTTTTTGCCTTTAAAACAGTATATATCCTAATAAAGCTAATTTCTCTTTCAGCATATGCTCGAGCTCTGCAAACTGTCATCTCATCTTGTGATATTTTGGACAGGGGCTCAAACACAAGACTTTCCGTCCATACATTTGCTGCTGTACATGCTCGTTCTAAGAATTCCTGACAGAATTCTGGAATTGGTGCCTCCTCCCCAACCCTGTCTGTGAAAGTAGGTGACTGAATTTTGTCCCAGGTTGAATTAAAGTAAATTCGGAAGGGAAGTCTTCCCACATGGTATTTCTTTCCCTTTCTGAGACTGTTTGGTTTTCTACAAGATACTGATTTGTCAAAAACTTTAAATCTTTGCTATTTGTTCATGGGTGGAAAGAGTACTTGGATCAGCTTTGTGCCCTGCTTACCTGTATCTTTCAGCCTGCAAGACTTGTGCCCAAAGTTTAGGTGGGTTTTGTGCTTTGGAGGTGGGATGTATTATTAAGGTACTCTGTCTCCTGTTAGATTTTAAACTGAGTCACCCCACTTCCTCCAGGATTTGGAAGTGTAAATTGTAAGACCTTGGTCTTGCAGAAAAGTTTTGAAAGTGATTACTCCAAAAGAGCAGAACTGCTACTAATCATGACAATGCTTAGTAAATGTCAAGACATAATGAAGGAATATTCACATTTAAGAAACTGAGAATGTAACCCAATTTCTAGAATAAAACGAATAAGTCTCTTGTACAGAGCTTTTTTTTTTTAATTTGTTGTTAGCTGTATATTGGGAGTCTCTTGTTTGTGATCTGCACAAGGTAACAAGACAACTAAGAATGTTGAAATGATACACCCTTCTATGCATTTTAATTATAATTTGGATACATATTTGAACAAGGAATGCTTCTGAACACTATGTTGTAAAAAGTGAAACTTTAAAGCTGAGTCTTTGGTGCTTGTTGAGAGAGGAGATTGTTATGAGATGTCAGCTTGTTTGATCTTCAACCTTTCCAGATGCAAATGTTAGGTAACATGCAGAAAGACAGTTCTTTGCTCCAAACATATTCCAATAAAAGTGTTTTGTATTTTATATCCAAGTGTCTACTGTCAATTCTCCTTATCTGTTGTGAATTCTGGGAATAATGATATATGAAAAATATTTTCTGATAAACCACATCTGCTTACTCCTTATAAATTGAATTGCTTATAAAAATGATGTATCAATAAAAAGGGAGGAGACTATAACATACAGTTAAATTTTTAGTGTCTGTGTGTCTTTCCCACAATATGTGATGATATAAAAATACCTTGCATAATTTCAGATGCTATATTCTTCCATTGTTTAACCCAGATTTTTAAATTAACAAAATGGTATTGACTTAACAGTATTCCAAGTTGCATTATGGTTGAGTAAAACCACTCCCAAGTTTTATATGATAGTCTAGGTACCACTGTATTTGATGATGTTGGTTACCTTTCCAGTCTCTTGAAAAAACAAAACAAGTATTAAATCCTCAATAGTGAAAATGCTTGTTACTGTTCTTTTCTCTTCAGCAGATATAGTAGACTTCCAGAGTTACTATGCAGGCTTAAGATTTCTTAAAACATTCAGATCATTTTTCACCGATAAAACAAGAAAATAAGGTAAACTTTTAAAACCATATAAATCTTGGCATATAGCTTTATCCTTCAGTTTTCTTTAGACAGTAGTATCAAAACAGGATCATTAATTCAAACAGATATAAATATAGAAGTTAAAAACCTTTGTTTCAGTCCTGGGCATACTTAAAGGTTAATAGTTATAGCAAGTTCTTTACGTCTTTTCAGATAGTTCATTCCCAAGGACAGTCTTGTCTTGTAACTTTAGCACCATTTTAAAGCTCAATAACTTTCTAAATGGGTGGAAAAAATTACATCTGTACTTATTTATCTTGGTGTTTTCCTACTAAAGGTTTGCACTCTGGCATAGATTATATTTTACAAAAGCAGTGTTGGAAACTTGTATCTTCACCTTTGTTTCTGTCATGGAATTAGACTGCTATGCCATTTCTATAAATTATGTTATTGGTATGTTAGCCCAAAGTGTTAGTAAGGATATAAAAAAATATGATCCTGTATTAAATCAACTACACTTTAGCTACAATAAAAAAGCAAACACAAGTTAAAACAAGAATGTGATAGCAGATACAAAGTAGTAACAAAAATGTGGTATCAGTATTTTTGTGGTCTGCCAGTACAATAAATTATGTTTTCATTCAACAAATTCCTATCAATCTTGGGCAAGTAATTTGTTATGTCTTTCATAGAAAATACATTTTCTAATACATGATCTGATTTTGTTTAGTTTTGGAAATGGTTCTACTGCTTTTTCAAAACTGGCTCTTATAAACTGCTTAGATAATAAGCAACTTTTCCCCCCTTTATCTTAATTTCCATTTAAGAAGTGGTAGGTGAAAGAAAGGACAATTGCTTTTCTAATATTCTTACCATTGTTCTACTAAAGGTTTTGTGGTGCTGGAGCTTAAGAGCACGTTGTGCTAAACCAAGTCTGGCACTGACTATGGATGTTGGTAATCATGGTATGCCAGGTTTGCTAATTGTGCTCCATTTTGGTCAGTATGTCCACCATTCTTGGGGCAGCTATGGTAGCTACAAAGGTATCCACAGGGGAGTGCAGAGGGGCAAATGACAAAAACTTCGTGATAACAAGCTCTGCCCATTTGCTTGTATGTGTTGTGACATCAGACAACATATGAAAGTGGTGGAGCTTTTGGTGGAATGGACCTCTGTGTACCTGGCTGACATTTTCTGATTTTTAAGTATTTTTTTAAAGGTTTGTTTTGAATGGTGAGCACTATCAGAGCCACTACAGGCAAGGTGGGGAAAAACCTGTGGCTTCAGTTGTCCCCTTTGTATCCTCCTTTCTCTGCAAATTTGCTGCAGGTGAAGAAAATAGTTGATAGCGTTTTGAAGCTACTTTAGCCGCCTATCTCTGTGTCCAAAGGCTGAAAGTCAGCTATAGATCAATATCCCATCTGTGTGTACAAGATATATAGCTATATTACATTAAGCTGCAGTTATGAATTATATTTACTCCTTTTTAGTTCAGACATCACTCTAAAGTTAACAGGTCATATGAATCAAGTCTGATCTCCTGCTGTGTTCAGGCACAGGAAGGAGTATACATGTGTAACTCTGTGACTTGAGCTGCACAAAACATCTAGATTGTTTTGGGCTAATATGTATACAGTATGAAAAAACCCCTTGGGTTTCTCTGCCTGGTCAATAAAGCAATAAATTCTACCTTTGGGATTCATTCAGACTGCTATGACTCCTGAACCAAAAAATGTGCAGTATAAATTCAGATAAGGCCAGCCATAACATTAGACTGTGTTGAAAGCATGAGCTGGTTCACACAGGAAGCAAGACATAATATGTTAGAGTTCAGTTGGGTTTAGTGTGTTCTGTGAATCCAGCCATTGTTTTTTGCAAGCTACAAATTATAGCATGGTGTTTGGGGGAAACCTTTTTTTATTGTATTTATATTGTATTTTTATCTTTGTCAGCCACCCAGAGTCATATTAGTGAGATGGGTGGCAGTATAAATAAATAAATAACATGTTTAAATGTTGGTTGTATACTGTTAGATGGCTTTACATGGTAGCAAGGGTGAGAAAAATAAAATCCCAAGAATTCAAGAGATGGCAAGAACTATAAAAACATTTAAAAGCTTAGATTTGGTTCAGACATACTAAAAAGACTCAGTCCCTTGCTGGTTGCCACTGTCTGCATAACATCATGGACTATGTTAATAAGTAGGCTTAAATAAATATTTAGGACTAAGGATCTGGAAAGTTCATGCTATAGAGCATGGGATTTATTGGCTAGGTGTTTTTCCCCCCCGAGAAATGGGCCTCTTTGTCTCACCTTGCCTGAAATAACCTTGCTAGATATCTATTTATTTTATTTATTTAAAAGATTTCTATGGCCACCCATCTTAAACAACACTGGGCAGCTCACAACAACAGTAAAACCAGTAACTATAAAACAACCATAAAACGATAAAACAGTAAAACAATCAAAAACAAAAACCTTGATCATCCCCTTAGGATGCCCTGCAGCAAGCTCCAGTTACCCTCATTCCATTCTTTCTATTCTATTCTATCCTATCCCAGCACCTCAGTAAAAAGCCAGGTCTTGATGGCCATCCAAAAGGTTAAAAGGGTGGGGGCCTGCCAAAGTAGGGCCAGAGCAACCTGTGTTTTTCTTCAGCTGTGCAGAGGGTCACTTAATTGTGTGGTAATGTTGATAAAAGTTAGGCATTAATCTGCTAATGAGAATGAAGTGCAGCCGTACAGCTATAGAAACGTTCCATAGGAGTAAGAATAATTTATGAGGGCCCTGGAATGCCTTTGGCTATGCAGATAGAAACTGTAGTGTTTAGGCATTCTACTTGCAGTTTGATTGAAATACTTTTATTACCTCTAGAAGCAGACAAACATGGACATATCTTGCAAAGTCTAATTGGCTTCACCTTTAGGAATGTTCCTGAGTAAAGGAGCAAGAGCCAAGAACACATTTGCAGTGACACCTGGCTCTATGGAAAAGGCAAATCTGGCTATGTTTATTCCCTAATGACATTTGTAATATACATACTTCACATATGAGTTATGTGAAGTTCCATGTATTGCCATTAGCAATACTGGTCCCAATGTTTTCTATTCCATTGCCAAGCCATAAATACAGTAATGATCATATTGATGATCTTCATTGCCTGCATATCTTTATGGATTAATACATAGATAGATCTACTTGATATAGTATCTATTTATTTAGATCATGAGAGAGGTTTTTCTTTGTGTCTTGTAATAGCTTGGGGATGATACAACAGAGAGACTTTAGTACCTTCTACATTATAGAATTCATGGTGGTTTTGTATCTCAAATTTAAGCAGTGTGTTTTGCTTATCAGTTAAATACTACTAAGTCATAGATCATAGTTTGCAAGCAACAATTAGGGCCAATGGAGATATTCAACCATTCCCCTTCCTAGATTACTCAATAGTTATAATTAAGTATACTTTCCAATACACCATTTCTAAGCCAAAGTTTAGAGCTCAGGAGAATCTGCAAGTCAATTATTTTTATTATAATTTCTAGACCACTCTGGCTAACAAGGAAAAAATACATTCCTATTTTAAGCAGATAAAGTTGAAGTCACCTTGACATCAGTCTCAACTCCTAGTAATTTCATCAATTCATTCATGTAGGGTTTTTTGTAACAAAACAAGTATTTTGTCATTGTCTTCTTCCAAGATGTTTCCCTGTTTTGACTTCCTAGTCTAGCCTACAAACTTAGCATTAGCTAGTGGTCCCCATCTAAGTCCTAACTAGCTCTGACCCGCTTAGCTTTTAAAAAACAACTGAAGTTAGCTAGGTGCTACCATCTAGCTTGGTGTTTTACACAAACAACTAAGCTTATAATAATCAGTGAATAGTTATTGCTTACATTACTATCCAAACATCAGTTCTGTTCTTTACATGAAAGAAACACAAACCCAAAGTATTCCCATTCACTATTGGAAATAGAGAAAATGCTACTCTAAATACTTCTAAAATGCCATAATAGATCCAGAATGATTTAAAAAGACAAATGGAAATCTGTCTTAACTCTTAGCTACTGTGATTAAAATTTGAAGCTTCCTGATTAGTTGATCAAAATGGTGAATAAGATTTTATAAGTTTCAACTTGAAGTAGCAATTGTAATAACTATAGCTGATGAGCCAATTGGCTGACCTAGACCCTGGACTACCTCATAAATGAAGACTCTGTAGAAAGGTGTCTTTACTTTAAAATGTAAATCAGAAAAAAAGACTTTGTGTAGAGATGTCCATCTTTGCTGGGAAAGCATGTTTTTTTTCCAGCAGCTTTCCCCCTTCAAATATCATTAAATAATTATTATATGAATAAATTGCCAAAAATTATATGCCACCTACTCCAATTCCAGACAGCTTAGAACATACAAAATAAAACATTCATAAAATCTATTCATAAAATCAATAAATAATAAAACTAAATAAATGTATAGCT